AACTGTCGACAAGAAAATAATTTCCCTATTACTCTAAAAAGCAATTCTATCTAAATGTTAGACTTGTTAAATCGAGAAAATAAAAAAGAAATAGAATTATAATAATCTACTACATTTAGTCATAACGATTCCAAATAAATAAATTAACATATTTTTTTTTTTTGTTCTAATGCAGTATCGTCATATTATTTAGAAGAAATATAGAATTTGAATCCCCGAAATGTATAAAATTATTAACAGTTTAGGATTTGAATCGTTTATATAGAAATTTTAATGTATTACCAGGATATTTTGATTCTTGAAGATAAGGTGAATCTGGAGCGTTGTTAACTTGTTAATTAAAAAATCCACGTGGCTATCTAAACCAGCGAGTAGAAAATAATCTATACGCGCGCGGGTGAGAATCATACCTCTCTTACCCATGCATTCCTTTTGCGCTTTAAAAATATCGTCGCCGCCCTTCATTTCCCGATCCAGTAATATCTCTGTCACCTCACTGTTCCTCCATCTCCGGCGAAACCAGGAAGCTTTAGTTCTCTGATCACATCACCGGAAAAAGGAAAGCCGCCGGAAAATGGCTGCCAACGCTGGAAGACTGGATCTAGACGGGAGGCCGATAAAGCCGATGACGATTTGCATGATTGGAGCCGGTGGATTCATTGGCTCTCACCTCTGCGAGAAGCTCATGTCGGAGACCCCGCACACTGTGCTTGCTCTAGACGTGTACAGCGACAAGATCAAGCACCTGCTCGAGCCTGATTCTCTCCCCTGGGCCGGTCGGATCCAGTTCCATCGCCTCAATATCAAGCACGATTCTCGCCTGGAGGGTCTCATCAAGATGGCGGATCTGGTACGTTCATCTCTCTCTCTCTCTCTCTCTCTCTCTGTATGCATTTGTATCCTCGGATGAGTTTTATCTGCTCTTGCTCTACGGGTAATTTGGAATGCCTCTGTTTCGATCAACTTATAATCTCTTTGTAATGGAGATCTGATTCGTTTGTTGGCCAAGCTTCGCATAATTCTGCAGATTTTCAATGTTTGTCCATGTAATTGGTTGGATTCAATATTCATGTGGCATTATGTTCGTGTGCTGTTTTCATCAGTGGGAGTGATATATGTGGTGTTGGTTCTTCGTTTTGCATCCTTTTGTGTGATTGATTTGGTTTAATTTGATTTGTTATGATCTGATCTGTTGAATTTTGTGGTGTAGACTATTAATCTTGCGGCAATATGCACTCCTGCGGATTACAATACTCGTCCGCTTGATACGATCTACAGCAATTTTATTGATGCGCTCCCTGTGGTAAGCAACTATACTTTCAGTGGTTTTGGATTTGATCAAAGTCCCCCTTTTGGTTTAATTAATGGGTATTGTGATTGATGCATTTGGGTGTTGATTGTTATTGATTTGTGATTTGGGGTATCACAAACTTGTGTAGGTGAAGTACTGTTCGGAAAACAACAAGCGTCTAATCCATTTCTCAACTTGCGAAGTGTATGGGAAAACTATAGGGAGCTTTCTTCCCAAGGATAGCCCTCTCCGTCAGGTATTCTCTCACTTTCACCATTTTTTTTTTGTATGTCTTTAATCATACACACAGCTTTTTAAGTCTTGTTGCTGACATGAGAGTGCAGGCTGAAATTTGGTCTGGATAAGTCAAATCCTCCAGTGGATGTGTTTGGAAAAGTGTCTCCTTACTAGATTTTGATTGATCTTTCATGTCACGCTCACGCACCTTCTAGGCAGTCAGTGGAAAGTGTCGAGTTCTACGGATAGAGACTAGGGCAACGTGGACATTTCGGTTTTTGATTCAGTTCGATTTATGAATAACTGAACCGAATACCCACCAACCCCTAATTGAGACAATGCTCCTCTGGATCTTGAGGCTTTTTTTTCCGTTTTGTATTCTGGTTGAGATGGATGGAAATATAGAGTTATGGGTCACTTTATGTGTTTTTCCGCCCACATTGGTTTCATTTTTTTTATCTGCATGTAATTTGCATTAAAACCGAAAAGTTAATCTACAAAGAGGTTTTTGCTATTTGGCAGCCTCGTAGGTCATTTGTCTCTACATCTGTTGCCATCAGTGTGTAAAATGCAAGGAGAGATTATCGTGTTTTGTCCTAAGCATTTGTGTAAGAATGATCTGTTTGCTTATTTACAGGATCCTGCTTATTATGTTCTGAAAGAGGATACTTCCCCATGCATTTTTGGTTCTATTGAGAAACAGAGGTGGTCATATGCTTGTGCAAAGCAACTTATCGAGAGGCTTATTTACGGTGGGTGAGCTCTGAAAAATCGAAATTTCTGGTTCACTGATCAGTGGTACTCAATACCAATCTTTCATACCAAAATTTGGGTTCCTTTTATAGCTGAGGGCGCTGAGAATGGACTTCAGTTCACCATTGTGAGACCTTTCAACTGGATTGGACCGAGGATGGATTTCATTCCCGGTATTGATGGTCCAAGCGAAGGTGTCCCAAGAGTTCTGGCCTGTTTCAGTAATGTGAGTTCACTCTCTGCTATACGTTTTGAATCAAATAATTATCCCAAATCTCCGTTTACCTGTTCATGTTTTACCTGTTCAGAATCTTCTGCGGCGTGAGCCCCTTAAGCTTGTGGACGGTGGACAATCACAGAGAACTTTTATCTACATCAAGGATGCCATTGAAGCTGTTTTGCTGATGATTGTCCGTATCTTTTGGTCATTTTCCATTTTAATCCTCGTTTTCGTTATTCAAAAGATGGCTAATCTCGTGTTCCACAGGAAAACCCGGACCGAGCAAACGGGTATATTTTTAACGTGGGGAACCCAAACAATGAAGTGACAGTGAGACAACTTGCTGAGATGATGACAGAGGTGGATCCCCTGCCTGATTACCCTCCCTTTAGTTTCCCATTCTTTTCTACTCCGAGTTTTCAGGTTTTGTGAACTAGGTTTTACTCGTTTTGACAGGTCTATTCCAAAGTTAGCGGAGAGGCCTCGATAGAGAGCCCGACGGTAGATGTCAGCTCCAAAGAATTTTACGGTGAAGGGTATGATGACAGCGACAAGAGAATTCCTGATATGACCATTATTAACCGTCAACTCGGTAAGTTTTCCTTCCTCTCTCCATTGGGCATTGAAGTTGGCATGTTGAGTTAAATCCGATATTCCCCATCCTAACTGCAACATTTAGGGGTAGGCACGAGTTAGGTATCCCGGTTTTCCGGTGTACCTCATCTCGGTTTACCCCCTCGGGTTTCTGGGTCACTTCCCGATCTCCGTCCCGTGGGGTCGGGTACTTAAACTTTGCGTACCTGTGGGTACTTGTTGGCCCCCGGCAGACAAGTCGAGGGAGAGCCGAGGCGAAAGGGTGAGGCAAGTGACAAGGCGAGGCGAAATCGCCCTTCTCCATGTCTGATTTTAGGGATTTTAAGCCAACCGGGTTTTTGAAAATCCTGATATGTGATTTGAAAAAACATCTCCCCTCGTCTTGCTCGGGGCCTCTCGTCCTCGAGTCACTCTTGGGTACAGGTAATCGACGGATGAAATCCATCCGAACTCGAACCCATAGATTGGGTTCACGCCTTCGCTTGCCTCGTACTTGTCCCACCGATAGATGAATATCCGAAATTTCGGGTATTCAACTCAAAATTTTACAGCCAGGCAAACTGAATCCTAATGGTGTTTATGCTGTTTAAAACGTGACACCACCAGGATGGAACCCAAAGACATCTCTATGGGACTTGCTCGAGTCGACACTGACCTACCAACATCGTACTTACTCCGACGCCATCAAGAAGGCCATGTCTCTCCCCGTTTCATCCGTCTAGTCCGACATTATATATATATATATATATATATCGATTCTTTTCAGACATTTCCCCACATCTTATACTTTACGCACTCTTATCTTATCGCCCATTTTATGGTCGTGTTATTAATATTTACTGGGAGAAGTTTGTGTTGTATTGATTACTTTGCCTTACCCCTCTTACATTAACGTCTTATTAGTTATTATTAGTAATCCCTTGACGGATTTTTACCGATAAAAAAAATTATGGAGGAGTACTTGAGTTTTGGATATTTGAATCTAAATTAAATAGTGATTTTATATGTTTTTTTAATAAATATAATCTATATTTCATAATTAAGTATAATTTTGTAATCCAAGAAAAAATCAACCTTAAGTTCGATTTTGAAACGAAATGTTTGTCTCTTACATTTTAGCTGTGAGTTATGTTTCCCGCATTTTATTTAAGAAATATATTTCCGAAAATCAATAGCGTCATTCATCATAACATCGTAGTGTAAGTCTAGGTGCATTCAAAATTGAAAGTAGTTTCAAATTTGAAAATTCGAAATAAAAAAAAAGTTGTTCTTTATTTAACGCATATGGATCTGGTGGACCGTGTAATGTGTATCCGTCGAAGGAGCTTCGATTGTGCCACAAATGAAATCACGTGAATTATAATTTTACATAAATAATACCTCTATAATTAGTTCGATTAAATGTCTAAGGAATGAAATAAAAGAAATTCCCTTGAAGATTATTTAATATATTGCTAGGCAATTAATTTAACATCGTACACCATTAATCTTTCGTAAATTCAGGGTATATATAAAATATACATTACCTGTCCAATTATACTTTGTTTGAATCAAACCCTTTACATACGATAAATTTTTGCTTTGATAAAACTGACTTAAATTCTATATATATATATATATATATATATTTGTGGAGAATACCGAATTTGAAGAGAGATTAAATTAAAAAAATGCCAAAATAAATATCCCACAGTTTCATTTCTCTCTCTCGTTTTATCGATTTACGTGTTGAAATTCCCTGCGTATTTATTTACGGATATGTGACATAAAGAGCGAAAACCCTTTTTCTGCTTCTTGGGATCTATAAAAACTGATGTAATCTGCTTTCCCTGATTTTACTCTGAAAATGTCTACTTTTTCACAGAGATCACTGTTTCATAGTCTCCTAAGATCATTATGTCTTCGGTTTGAATTTTTGTCTCAGTATTCCTTTGATCTGTAATCTCCCTTCTTCTCCTTCTCCTTCTCCTTCTCCTTCTCTCTCTGTCTCTGTGAAGACTGAAGAGTGTGAAGAGGAAGAATCTCAAACACAAGGCATCTGCATCATCGAGCAAAATCAAGCAATTCTTGGGCTTTTTTTAAATAAAAAAAAATTGTAAGAAAATGGCTTTCTGTCTGTAAATTGTTTTGTTTTTGTGTTATTGTGTTTGGTTTGTTTGAGCTGTAAAGGGCCACCATTGCCCACAAACCTCCGTTCTTGACGTCTCTCTGTTTCTTTTTGGACGGAAAAAAAAATTATTCTTTTTTAGAATTCTCTTTGGATACTGAGAGTTTTCGTTTTTTTCTTCTTTCAGTGGTTTAGTGGCCTTCCTTTTCTCTTAAATTTTTATTATTATCCCTTTTGGTTTGTGGAGAAACTTCTCGGTTTGGTGGGTGGGGCGTTATTTTTTTTCCTTCTCTTCCTCGTTTCTTCTTGCTTTCGACATGTAATTTGATCGATTTCGATCGTATTTCTCCATTGGAATTGGGTTTCTCTCTCCCTCCCTCCTTCTCAGAGACATGTCTCCTGTTGCCAAGGTCTCTGAGTTTTATAGGGAAGGAAATCACTGGTAATCTCCTCTCTCTCTCTCTCTCGCTCGCTCGCCTATTTACATGCAAATATATGAATATAAATATGTGGGCATGCCTGCTTGCGTGTGTTCACACAATTTCAGCCCATGGGTTTGCTCGAAATCCATCAAGTTTTGCAATTTCGTGATGTGGGTAGTTCCTTGTTAGGAGATTCAAGAAATCTAGACCCTAAAGTCTGCAGCTTTTTCTCTCCATACATGATCATCTTTGTTTCAAAGAACTTCGGGGCAAAAAGATCTTTCTTTTAGTCCTTTTAGTGAGAAATTCCGGGATTCTAACATGATCCCAGTTCGTGCATAGTTTCAAATGTCTCCGATTTGGACTAGGTTTTTGAAAATTTTGGCTACTGCATGCCTCCAATCTCAAGCACCCAATACCTTGATTACTGTGAAGTTCTTCGCGTGAATTCCCCCAAGAAAATATCTAAAAAAAATCAGTTCTTTGGAATTATTTTGAGGAAGAAGAGAAATGTGTTTGGGCAGGTTTTGTAAAGCAGGGTTGCCAAGTGATTTCGTTGTGGTTGTGGATGATGTGAAGTTTCACCTTCATAAGGTAAACCTTTCGATTCTTGCTTTCTTTCTGGGATTGGTATCTCTTTTAACACGTTTGAAAATTGAAACTTTCACACCAATTTGGTCATAATTTCTATGGATCTTTCAGAATTCACCAGGAAAATTGCAGATAGTTTCATATTTTCTGAAATGATCTCTTAGTTTTCTGGATAATTGGAAGAGCAAGCTACCTGTCTGATAAAGGATAGTCCAATTGATATTTTACGCTATATATATATATATGTGTGTGTGTGTATATATCAGATAATGCGGATGGCATATCGGTTTGATGCCTGCAAGTTTTTTGTTACTTTGTGCTTACATATGGTAGATTTGAGGGTTCTATATGGATTTCCAATGCATACAAGCAAATAGGTCTTTCTGTGTGTATCTATCTATGCCTGTGTGTGTGTATATACATTCTCTGCAAAGGTTAGAAAGGACAATGACAAGAGGTGTTCGTATATTTTGCAGTTTCCGCTCGTGTCGAAATGCGGTAAGATCGCTCGGATCTATGAAGAGTCTCGAAACAGTAACGGGAAATCTGTCCACACCACTGAGCTCGAAGAGTTTCTGGGTGGCCCGGATAATTTCTTGACCGTGGCTAAGTTCTGTTACTCTGGAAAGGTAGATTTCACGCCGAGAAACATAGTATTCGTATACTGCGGGGCAGAGTACCTCGGGATGACAGATGAGCTTGGAGAAGATAACTTGATTTCCCGGTCGGAAAATTTCTTGCACAAACACGTACTGAATAATTGGAAAGACTGTATCTTGGCTCTTCAAAGCTCGGACCCGGTTCTTGAAAAAGCAGAAAAGATTCAGATAATCCCGAAAATCATGAGCGCCATATCCACGATGGTGTGTACTGACCCGAGTCTCTTCGGGTGGCCGATGATGATGTATGGAAGCTTGCAGAGTCCGGGAGGGAGCATCCTGTGGAATGGAATAAACACGGGGGCAAGAATAAGAAGCTCGGATTCAGATTGGTGGTACGAAGATATCTCTTCCTTGAGCATAAATTTGTTCGAAAAGCTCATCAAGACGATGGAGATGAGATGTATACGGGCAGAAAGCTTAGCCGGTGCGATGATTTATTACGCGAGGAAGTATCTGCCTGGGTTGGGACGGTGGCAGGGCGGTAGCAAAAGCAGGTCAGTCGCGAGTTTTGGCTCGAAACCTGTTTCTACGATCGATCAGAAGCTTCTGCTCGAAACCATCGTAAGACTTCTTCCCGAGAAGAGAGGAAGATCCTTCTGTAGGTTTTTGTTAGGTCTTCTTCGGGTTTCGTTCATTCTCGGAGGCGATTCCAGCTGCGTAGAGAATCTGGAGAGGAGGATAGGGATGCAGTTAGAGCTGGCAACAGTCGAGAATCTTCTGATTCTTAACTATTCCGATTCGGAAACTCTGTACAATGTGGATTGTGTTGAGCGGATAATATGCCATTTCGTGTCGTCGGGTTCACGGTTACCGGCCTTTTCCCCTCCGTCATGGGACCTTGAAACGTCGCCCTCATCGAGAAAAGTTGCGAAGTTGGTTGATAGCTACATGGCAGAGGTTGCTTCTGATGTGAATCTGAAACCCGAGAAGATGCAATCTCTTGCGGCAGCTCTTCCGGAGTCTTCTAGATCTTTACACGACGGTCTGTATAGAGCGCTCGATATCTATTTCAAGGTCAGAACACTCTTTGAACTCGCTTCAGCATCTTCCGTTTTGTTAGATTCTTGGACGGGTGGACATGTCGGTTTTTGGTTCCAATTATGTTATATCCGGGTTCATTTTTTTCGATTTTAGAAAACCGGAAAAGGCTCATTTTTCGTATGTATAGATCCATATACTAGAAAATTTCGGTATTTCCGGTTATTTTTATATCCATTTCAGAAATATTATCTCGTTTTTAAATCGGATTCAGTTCGGTTATGGTTATGATTATAGTGTGGGCACAGTTTTTAACTTTTTTATGTTAAAAAATGTTCATGTTTCCAAAATTTTCGAGTATTTTCACATGTATTTCGGGTCCGAGTTTTTTGGTTTCAGAGAAATCATTAGGTTTTTGCATCGAATTATGTTCGGTTCCGGTTATGGTGTTTCGTTTCGGTTTATTTATAACCGAACCCGACGCGCTCCCATAGATTCTTATATAGTAGTAACGAAAAAGGAACAAGCTTTGAAAGGTTCTTCTGGTTGTTTTTTTCTGGCAGGGGCATCCATGGCTTTCGGACATCGAAAAGCAACAACTCTGCAACATCATAGATTACTCGAGACTCTCCATAGACGCGTGCGCTCACGCGTCGCACAACGAGCGGTTACCGCTCCGTGTCATTCTCCAAGTCCTCTTCTTCGAACACATGCATCTCAGAACCGCT